AAGACCCTGTGCATGCCTGGGAGTTACAACATGCCGGCCATGCAAAGCAAGAGTCTGTAGACTCCAAATGCGCAAGAAGAGCAGGTGAAGATGGAAGTGCCAGTGAAGGAGGGGAGAGTGAAGAGAGCAGCACTGGAGGGGATCACCTACAATGTAAGCAGGGCCAGATTTCCCACAAGGCCACAGAGGCCTGGTCTCGGGGCAGCAGGGAGTAGAGGGGCAGCACAGCCACCAGGTGGGTAGATTTTTTTCTGCATTTAGCCCTACTTCGGGCAAGCAGGGCTAAATGTACAGTGTGTGTGGAGGGTGGGGGGGGGGGGGGGGGGGGGGGGGGGGCGCATTGAGGAACCCAGCCTTGGGGCAGCAGAGAGAGTAAATCTGGCCCTGAATGTAAGGCAGCCATAATGTGCTTATATGATGTGCATATAAGCACATTATGGCAAACACCTCCGGCGGCCTTTTTTTTGGCTTCCCTTTGCTCCTATATGACACCCTAAACACGTACCAAACCCAGCTATTATGTGATGCACAGGCTTAATAGTAGTAAAGTAAACAAAACAATTCCTTTACTTTTCCTAACTGAGCAAAAGTCACCTTTGTTTGTGTTTCACACGCTCCCCCTCCTAGAGACTGCAGCTCACAGTGGGAAAGTTTCAGCAACAGAGTCTGTACTATCAATCCAGAAAGCAGTGGGCAGGACAGGGTGTGGTCAAGTTCTGATTGACAGCTATAGACTTGTGAATCAGCAGTGACAGTGCTATCAGCCATTCCCCCTGCAACATATTCTACATCCCACTGTAATGCAAGCAGGAACAGACTACATGAGAGTGGCAACTCTGAATTCAGAGGCAGTCCGACATTGTTGCTAACCCATCACAGGGGGCTGCATTAGATAAACCTCATTGGTTGGATCAACAGGTATTTGTGGGACTTTGCAGGAGACTAACAGAAAACTGCAAGTGCAGATGCACTTATAATTAAGTGCTGCAGCGCATATGTTTTAAAATGGAATCTTATAGTTCTGCTTTAAAATAATCATTGATTGAGCCAAATTCATAGAAAGGAAGATCCTTCTTTAACGTGAAAGAATACAATATAAGCTATCGTAACACGCATTGGACAATCCCCAATAACTATAAACATAACTCATATATACAGTACCTTTGTATAAATGAAATAAATTAATAAATGTCAGCCTAACCATCCCTTAATTGTATGTGAATATAATATTCTTTATCAAATTTAAAAGAAATAGGAGAAATGCGGCCATGCACACAGGGCCATCTTTAACATTAATTGGGCCCCGGGCAAGACTTTGCTGACAGGGTCTCACAACCCTTCTGCCTCCAACACTGCCCTCCCACTTCCCCTCCAGACCCCTGTATCCATCTACATCACCCTCCCCTCAAAAAGAAACAAAAACATTATGTGTGTGTGTGTGTATATATATATATATATATATATACACACATACCTATATACAGGGCTCAAAATTTCCACTCGCCCGCTCGCAATTGGCGAGTGAAAATTGCGTGGGGGCGAGTGTAGGACAGCACGGGAGAAGCAGGACACCTGGGACATGGAGGATACATTGCTTTTTTCTGCATTACACTGCTGGCCTCTGTACTCTGCATCACACCACTGGCCTCTGCACTCTGCATTGTTACTGATCTCTGTTCTCTGTGTCACACCACTGACCTGGCGGAGTTAAGGGCGGGGCACGGTAGGGGTCAGGTGGGGCAACTGGTGGCGAGTAACTCTTAAGGCCTGGCTAGTAGCTCAGGACTTGAAATTTTGAGCCCTGCCTATATATATATAAAAGGTTCAATGCAATAACGCAATGGACTCTGGACTCTGCACCGCAATGGACACGGGACCCTCCAACGCAGCGGACTTGGGACTATGCAACACAATGGACACGGGACTATGCAACGCAATGGACTCAGGACTCTGCAACGCAATGGACTCAGGACTCTGCAACGCAATGGACTCAGGACTCTGCAACACAAAGCACTCAGGACTGTGCAATGCAATGGACTCAGGACTCTGCAAAGCAATGCACTGAGGACTCTGCAATGCAATGGACTCAGGACTCTGCAACACAAAGCACTCAGAACTGTGTGTAGTGGACTCAGGACTCTGCAATGCAATGGACGCAGGACTCTGTAATGCAATAAATGCACTACTCTGTAATGCAATAAAGGCAGGACTGTGCAATGCAATAGAAGCAGGACTCTGTAATGCAATAAATGCAGGCCTGTGCAATGTAATAAACACAGGACTCTGTAATGTAATAAATGCATGACTATGTATTGCAATAAATGCAGGACTGTGCAATGCAATAAAGGCAGGACTCTATAATGCAATAAAAGCAGGACTCTTTAATGCAATAAATGCATGACTCTGTAATGTAATAATTGCATGACAGTGCAACGCAATAAAAGCAGGACTCTGTAATGCAAATAATGCAGGACTGTGCAATGTAAAAAAAAACACAGGACTCTGCAATGTAATAAACACAGGACTCTGTAATGAAATAAACACAGGACTGTGCAACACATTAAATGCAGGGCTCTGAAATGCAATAAACACAGGATTGTGCAACACACTACACACAGGGCCAGCATTGTCCTCCCCACCCCCAAGCTGGGCTCCCCTTTGCATGCCCAACATCATCCTCCTTTGCCGACCATGCGCTCAGGTCAACTATGGGGGACTAATGCTTAACTGCTTAGAGGCCCAAAGGACCCCTTTACCAGCTCACTTAACAAGGAAAGCAATTACAATACATATGATAAACATTACGGAAATAATCAAAGGAATGAGGTGCATTTATTTACAGAGCCGACAGCTTTGAAATCTGCTTGTACATTTGGCACTTTATAGGGACATTTTTCAGTAATACTCTGATTACAGTAATCTGTAAGGAGTACTTTACTGTCAGCAGCAGCATCAGCAAAGCCATAAATATATAGAGGGTTATTCTACCTGCTGAAGGATCTAGCCGTAGCTTCGTCTGACCCTTCGACTCACATCAGCCGCCAGAGCCCTTTGGTTCAGTCGAACCGAAGGGCCGCTGTACAGGCTATTCACAACAACCCATCCAGCAGCCAAAGGCAGCCAAGCGGCTCAGCCCAGCTAAACACATATGCCTCAGCTGAAGTGACAGCTGAGACGGGGAGCACGGTCTGCGAAGCATACCATGTTCCCCCTGTGCTGACAACAACTGGGCGTAGCCAGCCGTAATGTGAGGGCTGGCTCCGCCCAGTTGTTGTCAATCAATGACAGGTCAGCGTCCTTAGGTTATTTGAGGACACTGGGCTGTTATTAAATGGCAACAACTGGGCGGATCCAGCCGTGACATCACAGGACCTGCGGGCAGACTGTGAGGTGACGGATAAATGTGAACATTTGGGCAGAGATAGCGGTGATATCACTGCTAGCTCCGCTCAATTGTTTATATTTTGCTGCATCTATCAGAATGTCATTCTGCGGTGGGTGTTCGGTGCATGCGGACGGGTCGGCGGGCGTATGGGAAGGGGGTTTAACACCGCGGATGTCAACTGGTTAAAAAAAATATATAATTTTTTTTTTTATGTCACCATCACCTTGGACAACCCTAGACGTCGTGACTGACCCTAGATTATGTAATTGAATCAATTTTTTTGGGTTGTTTTTTTAAATAAAGGACATGTCAAAAATCTGTGTTTTGTATTTATTTCAATTAAAGGATTTTTTTAAATTAAAGTCTGGTGTGTTTATTTCTAACCCTTTAGTGAATGGGGAGGGGTACAAGTCATTCACAAAGGGGGGGGTGCATCTGGGTGCCTCTTTATTAAAGCGTTACCCCGATGCAAATAAGCCCCCCTGCCTGCAGACCCCCACAACCAATGCTCCAGGGCTCGTAGGGAAGAGGCCCTTGTCCTCATGGGCACGGGGACAAGGTGCTTTTCCAGGAGGGACCTTGGGAAAGCATCCTACCAGTGCTGGGGGCATGTGGCCTGGTATGACAGGGAGAGGGGAGGGGCGCTCGCTCATCCCCCTTTCCTACCCTGTCAGGATCAAGCGTCTGGTTAGGAATGTTTACCTCATTTTTGGGGGTGGGGTTCCTCCTTAAAATTCCTACTAGACCTAAAGGGGCTGGTATGGTTTGGGAGGGGGAGCCAACACTGTTTTGTTTGTCTTTTCTTTTAAATTTTTTTTTATTATTTTCTTAACATTTCTTCCGATTTTTCCATGTATCTAAATCATTTTTTTACATTTGTTTTCTTTTGTTTACATTTTTTTATGCTGCTCGCTACCTCTGAGGAAGCAAGCAGAATAGCCAAGCTCGTCGGCATTCGGCTATTCACTCACTACAGTTCGGCCCCTTTGAGAATAGGAGCGAATGGCAACAAGTGAACTGCCAGAGCTTCGGCTCAGCCAAACCAGATACTGGATCTGCTTAGTCGAACGGCTTCTGCACTTCGGCTCAGCCGAAGTCAGCCGATGAATGATTTTAGCCGATCTACTGTTGAAATCAGCCGTACTGAGCCAAAGTGAATAGCCGAACACAGTTCGGCTCAGTTCGCTTCGGCTTGGTTATTCACTCGGCTGCCTTTGGCAGCTTAGTGAATAACCCTCATAGGGTAAAACTGGCACAACTATCATCATCAGTGTCAAAACTGGAACCTTTATAAATTGTGACATTTCTGCAGAAAAAAAAGATTCCCATAATACTCGTCAATAACAGAAAAATTTGTTTTGAAAAGACTGGCCCTATCCTTTAGTATGGGAAATGTATAATATACTGAAACGTATTAATTGTGGACTTTATATAGCAGCAAAATTGCAAAAATAATGACATTTTATAGCTTTAAATTACAAACTGACATGCAAAAGCTGAAGGAATGATGCAATAGATGTCAGAGCAATGCAGTGTAGTACCGTGGTGCTTTAGCAATGTTTCAGCGCCCAGAATGAAGACTGTGTAACAAGGCAGCAATGCTGAACATTTGTGTGTGTGAAAATCCCTCCTTCTGGTGGAGCTTGCCTAAGGACATGGGGCCTCCTACTCCCTTCCTACTCACTCACAGAGAAGACACAAATAAACATGGCTCTTCCTAGCAGCACAGTGTATGACTGTATTGTGATAGGAGCAGGAATTCAGGGATCCTTTACTGCCTATCACCTAGCTAAAAACAAGAAAAGGACTCTGCTTCTGGAACAGGTACAAGGGGGGGACTGGATAATAAGCAGTATATTGTCATTTATCTAGTACTGTATATGCAATGATACACTATTATCTCACTCCGTCTACAAGGATGCACTTGAAACCTTAGAAATGGCTATTGAATTATAGACCCGAAAACCAAGTGAAATAGTGACCTTTTCTCAGCATTTTGTGTTTACTCAGAATGTTGAACTTTGGAAGATTTGCACAATCCGTTGCAAAGAGCTGACCTGCCCAGACACACAGGTTAACACGCTGTATTTATATAGTCTCAATACTTCATTTAATATGATTTGACACAATTAGTTTAAGGGATTATAGAATAAGTGTATGTTCATATAAAATGTATCATACCCCCCTCCCACCCCAAATGTGTTAATTATTCTTTAATTACATCCTATTCAACTTAGTAGTGTGTACTCAGAAACAGTTTGCACAATGAATGTTTTGCATGATTGTATGCAGTCAATCCCAGCTGCAAACGAATACTGTTGGCCTAAGACTCCGTTCATATATAGCGTTTGTGTTTCCTGCGTGGTTTTCCGTGTGGAACCGCAAACGCTAAAATCTTTAGTTCGCACGGATTCCGCTCATTTGCGGCTATTCTATAGCCGCGAACGTGAAGAAACTGGCAAAAAAATGTGCTTGTACTATTTTGTGGGCCACACGGTTTCGTATTGCGCAGCCGCCGCAAATGTATGAACAATGCACATTTAAAGTGCATTGTTTTATTCGTTCGGCTATATAAATGCGGACAACCTTTCCAGTGTGAATGAAGCCTAATAGATTCAGTTTAAGCCCTCATCCACATGAGAAAAGGCCAGCCCATACAGATCCGTGCTGTGTGCACTACTGTATCAGGCCGCTTCCTCTATGGGAGTACGCAGCCGTACACCGCCCTACGCTCACCCGAACTGCACATTCGTGCAAGTGCGGGTGTCCGTACTTGTACGCTGACAGGGTGGATGCTGTCTGCGTCCAAGCAGGGGCACCTGCACCCGTACGGACAGGGCAGTTCGGGTGAGCATAGGGTGGCGTATGGCCGCGTACTCCCATAGAGAAGGACAGGCTGCTGTGCGTAATCACACGCAGCACCTGTCCTTCTCGGGAGCGGCCCGATACGGCCATGCACGCAGCACGGATCTGTACGGACCGGCCGTTTCTCGTGTGAATGAGGGCTTAGAGATTGACCATCTAGATTCTAGCATGTCCAAAAGTATAGTTTACTGAAAACTCCAGGAGAGCCCCCACCAGGGTAAGGTGACAACATTTTTAAAATAAAGTCCAGGGACATTTTCAAATGTCCCTGGGAACATAATACAACATAATAAAACAATATATATGTGTATATATATATATAATTTTAATATTTTTTTTAAATATTCACCTGATCCCTAGATCCACCGACAAATGCAGCCTCCCATCTCCCATGCTGTCAGAGACTGCAACAGAGCATGTTGGTTACCATTTAAACTGGCGCGCGCTGTGTGCAGCTTCTGAGAAGATACGCTATTAGCGTATCTTCTCAGCTGCGTATTTTGCCTAGCTGCCTGGTGCCTTTAACTAGTGAAGTTGAAGTGAAGTTAACTGATGAAGCAAAATACGGCTGCGTATTTTGCCTAGCTCCCGCTATGCGTATCTTCTCAGAAGCTGCACACAGCGCGCCGGTTTAAGTAGTAACCAGCATACTCTGTTGCAGCTTCTGACAGCGTGGGAGACGGGAGGCTGCGCTTGTAGGTGGATCCAGGAATCAGGTGAGTATTTACAAAAAAAATTAAAATTATAATGTATTGCTGGGACTTATAGTCCTCTATAGCTGTTGGTATTCTTCATTGCTGTACAATGTATGCCTGAGATTTATAGTCCTCTATAGCTGGTGGTATTATTCTACATTGTTGTTGTGCTGAGATTTGTAGTCCCTCTACAGCTTGGAGTTAGTGGCAGAACTACCAGGGTCGCAGCAGTTGTACACACGCACAGCACTGACGAGGCATTCCTACACTACCAGTGTGCTTTAATGTTTCTCAACCGATAAATGTATCTGCCACGTCTATTCCAGGTGAGCATGTCATAAGGAAAGGGGGTCATGAAAACAGCTGATTCGGATGACTCGGTCCCACTGGAAGTGACACAGGCGAGAAAATTTATAGGATCGAGAAAAATTATAGTACACTGACTTTGACACTGTCCGGCCCCTCCCACTAACCTCCCACAGCTCACTGCCCAGAAGCATGAACAGCCAGCGGCGGTCTACAGTGGGTGAGAGTGCCTAAGTACTGGACATGGAGCGGAGTAAGGCTAGAACCAGGTAGGGAGCCCAGTGGGAGGAGAGCACCATCCCCCAGCCAGTTGTCCCTTTCATGGACTTACTAGTGACTCCTCACATCACCCGACCGTTCACACTACCGTTACATGGATGGCAAAAGTGGCATGCAGGGGCGGGGGAAGAGGCAGAGTGGGAGGGGGCCAAGTTGCTTCACCATGGGCCTCTGGGTCGTACTTGCCCCTTTGCTAAAAGTTGCCAGTAAGCCCATGCTGTATTCCTCACCTACCAGGCACCGATAGCTGATTTAATTGTGGATGGCATCGGTGCGCGACGGTTGCGGTATTCAGGATTGTGTTCGGCATTGGACTACATGTCACAACCGCGGGGCACAGATGCCATCCGCAATTAAATCAGCTCTCTGCTCCCAGCGGTTGCAACATGCAATGAAAATTATTAGTGCCCCCCCCCCCAGATTTGCCTGTAGTATCTTATGTGCCCTCCCATATATTGTTCCTAGAGTCGCCACTAAAGGAAAGGCAGCTGTGTGCGCCATCTCTTTGCTGTTTTCGGCTGAGCCGCAGCCAAACTAGTAGATGCGGCTGTGTTAAAGTGGCAGGGGCAGTGTCCCCCACCTCCCGGGTCCAACAGACACTGCCGTCACTGCTTTAACACAGCTGCACCCACCTGCTAAAGGAGAGCATGTGTGCTGGCATGGAAGGAGCTGCCCATTAACGCGTGTGTGTGGATGACATCCCACAGGGATCAGACTGTGTGTGATGGCTGATCCCACTGTTTATGTGTCATTCTAACTGCCCGATCTGCCGTGTATTGGTTCCGGCCCGAGTTCTGCCATGTATTGGTTCTGGTCTGAAGTGTGACGTGTATTGGTTCCGGTCTGAGGTCTGCCATGCATTCTGCCATTTAGCTCACTTTCACATTGCCTATATTGGTCTAGATTCTGAAATTCTCCCACCAGTTCCCCGGCAATTCATCTCTTAGTGAATTGGCCCACTATTTGAAAAAATTTCTGTGACACAAGAATGTCTATGCAGGTGGGGCGTGAGGGAGGGACTTGTATATGGGCGGAGCACAAGGGGGCCCCATAATCTTGTATTGCCTGGGGGCCCCATGTGTTGTCAGTCCGCCCCTGCTCCAGTGTAATACAATTATATTATTACCCTCGTATACCTTTACTGGCAGAGCCAGACCTCATATATGTGCACCATTAGATCACTTTTCATATGGCCATAAATGGTTGAGACCGCACAGTTCCCAACATTCTCAGTGGTAAATTACTAAATACTCATTAGAATCACATTTAAGAGTACTGTAATTCAAAAGTGCCTCTGCAATTCATTACTGAATCCCACTTTCACTGGGACAGATGTCCCTAGTGGTCAATTCCACTTGTCATCTTGTTCTGGTGACAATTTTAGATTTTCTGCTCCATGGGTGCACAGACAGCAGTAAAAACCTAACAGGGGTTCTTACTGTTCCCACTAATATTAAAAAATATTTTGGCTTTACATACACATTAATGTTAACAGTGGCGTAACAATCGCCATAGCTACCCAGGTGGCCGTTATGGGGCCCGGAGCTCAGGGGGGCCCAGCAAGGACATCCCGGATGCCGTGTGGGTCGCTGTGGCATCTCATGCTGGTGGCTTTCATTGACGGCTGTGGAGTGGAACATGCCGCTGTTCAGATCATTGACAGTGATCTGTGCAGCGGTGTGTTCCTCTCCACAGCCGCTGCTGAGTCAGTGAGAGCCAGCAGCGGCGGTGGAGGAGGCTCATGGTGCTCTTTAATGTATTGCTGGGATAGTGGGATTTGTCGTCCTCTATAGCTGATGGTACATTGTGCTGTATATTATACACAGCAATGTACCATCAGCTATAGAGGATGACAAATCCTAGCAATACATTATACACTGGGGGGAATTTATCAAAACTGGAGCAGACAAAATCTGGAGCCGTTGCCTATGGCAACCAATCAGCTTCTCTCTTTAGTTTGTTCAGTTTACAGCTGCTCCAGATTTTGTCTGCTCCAGTTTTGATAAATTCCCCTCAATGTATGTATAATGTATTCCTATATAGCTGGTGGTATTCTGCATTGCTGTATAATGTATTGCTGGGACTTATAGTCCTCTATAGCTGTTGGTATTCTTCATTGCTGTACAATGTATGCCTGAGATTTATAGTCCTCTATAGCTGGTGGTATTATTCTACATTGTTGTTGTGCTGAGATTTGTAGTCCCTCTACAGCTTGGAGTTAGTGGCAGAACTACCAGGGTCGCAGCAGTTGTACACACGCACAGCACTGACGAGGCATTCCTACACTACCAGTGTGCTTTAATGTTTCTCAACCGATAAATGTATCTGCCACGTCTATTCCAGGTGAGCATGTCATAAGGAAAGGGGGTCATGAAAACAGCTGATTCGGATGACTCGGTCCCACTGGAAGTGACACAGGCGAGAAAATTTATAGGATCGAGAAAAATTATAGTACACTGACTTTGACACTGTCCGGCCCCTCCCACTAACCTCCCACAGCTCACTGCCCAGAAGCATGAACAGCCAGCGGCGGTCTACAGTGGGTGAGAGTGCCTAAGTACTGGACATGGAGCGGAGTAAGGCTAGAACCAGGTAGGGAGCCCAGTGGGAGGAGAGCACCATCCCCCAGCCAGTTGTCCCTTTCATGGACTTACTAGTGACTCCTCACATCACCCGACC